ATTATTGCTTAATAATTGCACTGTATTTAAATAAATTTACGGAATGTATCCTATTTAAAGATGAGATGAAGCTAAAATTCCTACATTACTAACGGTAAAAATAAAACTTGTACTATTGCGGAAATCCGCGGTGTTCCACTTTCAGAATATTTAGCTTCTTCCTTAACGACACTCTGGCTCTTCTTGTAAACAACGGATGCAACAGAAGCAATTGGATGCTTTAATCGGCAGACGGCTATTTTCACGAAGGATTGCTACATCGAACATTTCATTTAAGTACCGAAGATTGTGAAGTTTTTGAGATAATTTGCTGGTTAATACTTATTATTTTTTCTACAATAAATACAGTTTAATATTTGTGTGCAGTTCGCTAAGAGAGTCTAATTTTATACTCAACAGTATTCGAAATTTGATAGCTATTTATTTTACCAAATCTATCTTCCTCAGTTACCTCGATAAGACAATCTCATATGAATTTTTAATTTTCATTTTAATATGATTTATATCGATTTGATACAAATATTGTTAAGAAATTCTCGTAAATATATATAATGATATATAAGCATCGCTTAATTCGTTTAAAGCTTGACTTAATACGACGTGCTACTATGCTTTAACTTAAGTTTTCTTGTCTCTTACTTTTCTATTTAACATCTGGTTTACCAAAATAAAACGTACACTTAAACGGCAGTTAGTGTAATAGTATATGCCGACTATTCCAGCCGCTGCCGCTGCGCCAGCTGCCAGATTCCACGCCACGCTAACTCTTGCGGGACATGCCAGTGCGCCGAGCCTCGCTGTCGCCGAGCCTCGCTGTTGCCGAGCTTCGCTGCCGCAGAGTTGCGGCCTCATCGTGGCGCAGGCACCTGGATCAGCTGCCGGTAATTATTGCTTAATAATTGCACTGTATTTAAATAAATTTACGGAATGTATCCTATTTAAAGATGAGATGAAGCTAAAATTCCTACATTACTATCGGTAAAAACAAAACTTGTACTATTGCGAAAAGCCGCGGTGTTCCAGTTACAGAATATTTAGCTTCCTCCTTAACGACACTCTGGCTCTTCTTGTAAACAACGGATGCAACAGGAGCAATTGGATACTTTAATCGGCAGATGGCTATTTTGACGAAGGATTGCTACATTCATCATCATCATCATCTCCTTATCCTACTCCCGTAGGGTCGGCGCAACAGGTTATTGTCCTCCGCATAACTCTATCATACATCATCTCAGTCATCACTCCCTTTTTGATCGTGTCACCTTTTACACAATCCATCCATCTCTTTCTAGGTCTACCTCTACCGATGTACCCTTCCACACTCATAACTAACGTTCTCCTTGTAACGATTAATCCCTTCTCATAACATGCCCATACCACTCTAACCTTTTATTCCTTACCTTCTCTACTACGGGGGCTACTCTCAAACTTCCTCTAATATACTCATTTCGTATCTTATCCATTCGTGTTACCCAACACATCCATCTTAACATTCGCATTTCTGTCACATGTAGTCTCCTTTCATCCGTTCCTTTTACTGCCCAACATTCAGATCCATACATCATAACAGGTCTTACGACGGCCTTGTAAATTTCCCCCTTTAGTTTAAGTGGAATTTGAGGGTCGCATATTACTCCTGTGACCTGCCGCCATTTCATCCATCCCGCTTTTATTCTATTTGTCACGTCACGGTCAATGTAGCCGTCGCTTTGGATAAAAGGTACCGGAAGTCGGAGCAAACTGGGAGATAAGCGCCATCTAAGGCAATCGGGATAAAACTGGATAAGCCCCCGAAGTCACAGAATAACTACTCCGTTTTGCTCTCTTTATCTTTAGTCCGGCTGTCTCCAGTTTATCCCGCCATCTCTCCAGTCTGCTCTGGACCTCAAGCGCATCTTCCCCAACAAGAACAATGTCATCGGCGAACAGCATACACCAGGGTGCTTCCTCCTGGATCTCCACGGTTAACGCGTTGATAACCAGGAGGAACAGATAAGGGCTTACGCCGATCCCTGGTGCAGGCCCACAGCCACACTGAACTTGTCGGTTACGCCGGCTTCGGACCTGACGTGAGTGTTCGCTCTTTCATACATAGCAATCACGAGTCGCACGTACTTCCCAGGCACTTGTCTATCTTTCATCGCCAACCACAGAACCTTACGGGGGATTTGGTTGTATGCCTTTTCAAGGTCAACAAACACCATATGCAAGTTCTTATGTACACGTCTGTACTTTTCACAAAGCTGACGTAACGCAAATATGGCATCCGTTGTTCCTCGACCATATGCCTCAACCGTATGCCATCAGGACCCACTGCTTTACCATTCTTCATATCTCTCACTACCATTTTAACCTCATCCTAACTGATCTCATTTACCAACGCCATATTGACCGGTGTTCTCGGTACGACGCCATTTCATTCATTCTTCTCATTCATAAAATTTCTGAAATATACTTTCCATCGCTCTTTTATATCTCCATCTTTCAACAAAATTTTACCATTTTCATCCTTCATACATTTTACGTGCATAATATCTCTCGCTTTTTTGTCCTTGCGGTGTGTCTAGTTCTTGGTACAGTTTGTTCTGTACAGCAGCTTTAGCCACCGCAACCGATCTTCTAGCAATTTTCCTAAGGATTGCTACTTTAAACATTTCATTTAAATATCGAATATTGAGAAGTTTTTTAGATAATTTGCTGGTTAATACTTATTATTTTAACAGCCGTTACCAATTATTGCACCTGTATAACTGATAAAGTTAAAAATTTGAATTGTAAATCTACAATAAATAGATATAATGATATATAAGCATCGCTTAATTCGCATAAAGCTTGACTTAATACGGCGCCCTACTTTACTTAAAATTCAGTTTTCTTGTTTCTAACTTTTCCATTTTACTTTTTGTTTAGCAAAATAAAACAGAGACAATAAATTGCAGTTAGTGTAATAGTATATGCCGACTATTCCAGCCGCTGCCGCTGCGCCAGCTGCCAGATCCTGCGTGCCGCCGCGCTCACTCTTGCGTGACATACCAGTACGCCGAGCCTCGCTGTTGCCGAGCTTCGCTACCGCAGAATTGCGACCTTATCGCGGCGCAGGCACCAGGATCAGCTACCGGTAATTACTGTTTAATAATTGCACTGTATTTAAATTAAATTTACGGAATCTATCCTATTTAAAGACCAGATGAAGCCAAAATTCCTACATTACTAACGGTAAAAATAAAACTTGTACTATTGCGGAAAACCGTGGCGTTCCACTTACAGAATATTTAGCTTCTTCCTTAACGACACTCTGGCTCTTGTAAACAACGGATGCAACAGAAGCAATTGTATGCTTTATCGGCAGACGGCTATTTTCACGAAGGATTGCTACATCGAACATTTCATTTAAATACCGAAGATTGTGAAGTTTTTGAGATGATTTGCTGATTAATACTTATTATTTTAACTGCCGTTACCAATTATTGCATCTGTATAACTGATAAATTTAAAAATTTGAATTATAAATCTACAATAAATATATGTAACCATATATAAGCATCGCTTAATTCGCATAAAGCTTGACTTAATACTGCGCCCTACTATACTTAAAATTCAGTTTTCTTGTTATTAACTTTTCCATTTAACTTTTTGATTAGCAAAATAAAACAGAGGCAATAAATGGCAGTTAGTGTAATATTATATGTCGACTATTCCAGCCGCTGCCGCTGCGCCAGTCTTCTGCGGGACATACGAGTGCGCCGAGCCTCGCTGCCGCAGAGTTGCAGCGTCGCCGCAGCGAGGCGCCGGGATCAGCCGACGGACCTGTTTGCTGTTTGACCGTTGTACATAGCTACAGCGGTCTGCAAGGTTTGGCTTTTATTATTATGCTTAGTTTATTTAACGCGTTATTCGTTGGTGCGCGTTCATTTAATCGCGATTTTATAATACCCGAAGACTTCACGTTCGTGGGTGTTGAAGGGAGAATTACCATATTTACGTTATTTAAGCACTGTTATCGACATTCAAATCTATGAGCTTCATTTAAAGTTGGACAGATTTCAGTCTTTAATGTCGCAATTTTTTTTAATTAAAGGAAAGATCGAAGTGTTATCTTCCGATTCTAAGAAGCGAATGAGCGCAAGGGAAATAGTGGAATTTCCGTGTATAGAAAATCATCACATTACAGATATCAATGTTTCTTTTCTTACATTCTTCGCTAAGAGATGGCGCCACTGTCGTTAAAAACGTTTGCTTTTTCAGCTGATAATTTGAAATTTATGTGGGCAATGCTTTTACAATAACGTATAGTCATTTAAAATCATTACAATGTTTTTGATGTGAGTTGAATTTATTTCAACAATACTATGAAGGATTTCGTAATAAAAATTATGCAAAATGAACCTTATTGTGTTACGCTAAGTCTTATTCTGCGTGCTCAATCAATATATTATATCAAGTGTATACGTTAAGAGAAATTTACTTTGATGTTTTATAATTACCATTTATATTACCGGTTTTTTAAATAAATAAATAATCTATGTCTTTACATATAATAAAATTGAAGTGTCTATTTGTAATATGAAAAGAATAATTCCAGATTTCGGGAAGATGATCTATTTGCGTTGATAATAACGAAAACTTAATTTAAAAAATGTTTGTCTGCCTGTCTGTCTGTGTGTCCGCAAGCCGCGTGTGTTCCGGGTAATCTCCGAAACGAATGGGTCGATTTCGACCGGTCTATCACTGAAGGGTAGCTGACATAGTCGGACAATTATAGGCTACTTTTTATCTTAATATTGCTTGGACGAAGTCGCGGGCAACAGCTAGTTTTACAAATTTAAAAACAGCCAACCAAGAAACTTAAGGGTACTTAAAATATAAAACTCGAACAAAAGATTTTACAAGATAATGTTTGCTACTTCTTCTTATTTTTCAAGATAAATTCTTAAACAGACGACAGGAAATTAAATCACGAAAGACAGACAAACAACTTAGAGAACTCCCAAGGGACAGTACATTTTCACAGCGTTTTATTTTCCTTAAGTAAGTACTTTATTCTTAAATAGGATCTGCCATTATACTTAGCTTTAAGGTTCTGTTACATTGAAATAGAGAGGAATGTCAAAATAATATATATTTTATTTGATAACTAGCTGTTCCCGTGCGGCTTCATCCGCATCAAATTATGAAAATTTTATATCATTGTTTACATTTGTCAAATTATCAATAGCAAATGTCAAAATGACATGACGTGACAAATGAAAATAGAACAAAACATAGCTTATATTACTCCCTGATAACTTTGCTTTTTAATAGTTAAAGATTTTTTAAATCACTACTGAATTATTTCAATTATGGTTGTAACGCAGGCCATTTTAACGGAAGCGGATGCGGAGATGAAGGGCTTCACCTCTGCAGAAGCGGAGGTTAACGAAAGCGGAAGCGTAGGTCAATAATAAAATGTTATTTGTGATTTATTAAAGAAATAAAAACTAAAATTACGTTAATTCAAAATACAGATTTGTACATAATTACAAGATACAGTTTATCATGCAAATGTAATGTATAACAATTATAGTTAGTTGACCTAGCACACGGCGCGTGCCGCGTAAACGGGACCTAATCGCCCCACTCGCGTTAAAAAAGTAAATTAACCTCCGTTATAACTACGCTTAATAAATAACGGAAGCAGAAAGGGATGTGAAGTTAATATTCCTTGTGTAAGTTCCGCACTTGCGGATGCGGAAGCGGAGTTCCGTTACAACCCTAATTTCAATATAAACAAAAATATAAATCTTTCTTCTTTCTGACATTAGTATAGACATAGATAAGTATAGATGTAGAGGTGAATTAAGAAACTTACTATAGTCCTTTACGGTGGCAAAGTTTTGTCTTCGATATTGCGAAGTCACATGTAAACAAACAATCCGTTTAAAGACGACAGGGAACTGTTAACTGAATTTAGCAAGTTTCTTAAACAACCACAAGACAGTTCTAGCGGGCTTGCTTGTACTGTAAATGAGTTTGTTCCAGTTTTCAAGTATAATGTTTATTTGTGATGTCTAAGAATAATTAATGGAATACATTTTAAAGGTTCGATTCAATGAGTGTTTCCCGTTGGGACGATCGGCTATTGGGAATTGTTTAGTGCTACTGCACCTTTACGGGGAAGCCGCGCGGAGGGGACCCTATCGCACCTCGTCCGTCCCCCACGTTCCCTCATACCCCGCTGCAATTAGTCGCACTGCGAGCCGCCATGCGGCAACACTTTTTTAATTATAACTTTTAACACTGTATCTATTTGCATATTTTCAATACAACATCAAACCACAAGGCCTGCTATTAATTTATCAATCGATCCTATTAGTAATACAGTCCACTATTATACAGGAATTCTTTCGGCTCTTGAAATCCATACAATGTAATAAAAACATAGATTAGACCGATTGACCGTTAGGCAACTCGACTCAACAGGAAACGGCCGATCTGATTCTAAAAAATCACGTTTTAAATAGCTAACAGATGTCTCGTCAAAATGTTTTTATTCGATGTTTCTTAGTGTGAACAGAAAAGTCAGCAATTTCAAAGATCGTCTTCGTCTTTGCTTAATAAAAACTGATTATTTTTGTTTTAAAAATGTTTTGTTGTTATCAGTAGCATTAATATTGATGTTCGAAGCGAATTTTCCTGTTTTCTTTGATATTTCAAACTGTCTTTCATTGGAGTCTTTTAAAATTGAAGTACGGAAATAAAAAGGGTAAAGAATATAGTGGATAAGATGTAATTTAAAATCTAATCTGAGCAGGAAATTAAAAAGAAAGTAAAAGACTATTTGTTAAATAAATTAACGAGTAACCTCAAAGGACTGTTTATATAATAGCTAGATTGTGTAGAACCTTAGTTTAAATTTACCAGTAATATTATAACAGCCGTAAACCAACAGATATATTATTGCAACATCCATATTTTTCTAACGTCAAAGATGTCGTAGAGTTTATTTTATAGAAGGAAAACGTACCTGGTAAAGGGAATCGACAATTTTGCGATTAAATAAAGCTAACTAATTTGATGTTATATAAACGTATACGTTTTCTTATCTTTTGATATCGTTTTGCATCGTTTAATACTTTTTTATCTGATCAAAAAATTAAGAATGGAGTATAATGTAATATGGAGTAATAGAGATATGTGATGTGGCACATACTTACCATCTCCACTAAGCAACAAGATAATAAAGCGTAAACACACACTAATTCGTAACGTAGGATGTCGGATTTCGCAGCATGTTTTTGAATAAATCTTTCTTCAATAAAAAGCCCTACACTTACGACACGCTTTAGGCTATATATTTTCACGCTATTAAACTTAGGGGGTAAATAAATTGGAAAAAACCTTCATAACCTTATAACGATTTGTGACATATTAATTGTGACATTTGTAATTGAGAATTTGACAAATGTAAACATCAAGTTTTCATAACTGCATGCGGATGAAGCCGCACGGGAACAGCTTGTACATTATATATCTACTTTGCTCATTCTTAGGATAAACATCTAGGACAGACGTTTGTCCGCAAAGTAATACGACTGAAAGCGAGCTCCGTTCCACGCTTATTGAATTCTAACAATGAGATTTTGTATCAACAACCAACGACGCCTCGTTTACCTATATTTTACTATATTGAAATCTTACTAATATTATAAATGCGAAAGTTTAGATGGATTGATGTTTGTTAGAGTTGGTAGCCTACACTGCTGAACAGATCTTGATGAAATTTTGGATACTACTATCTTAGGGATAGTCTACATAAAGTTAATTAAGAGCGTTTGTTCAGGGTTTTAAGGTTCTCCTCTTATAATCTACAAGTACTGGGTTCGAATCCCGCCATATACCAATGTGAATATGGAATTTCATTTGTGCATAATTTACCCGAAGTTCTTGCGGTGAAGAACAACATCGTAATGCTTGCATATATTGGCGAAGAAATTCAAAGATATATGTGAAGTCAACTAAATTAGGTAAGCGTGGTTGACTATAGCATAGTCACCTAATTAAGGGTATGCTCTGAGTCCCTCAGTGAGGACGTTTAGCAAAGCTGTTAATTATTACGTAAGAATTGTTCAGTCTAAAACGTGCACCAAAGCACCGGGTCTCGGCTGTGTAATCCAATCAGGACCGTGCGGACATAGAATTCGATTTGTGCGACGCAGACAAACACTAACTGGATATATTGACTGAGTTTCCACTGCTGAAACACATGTAGTCAGCTATATTAATATGTATACATTTACAGTTTCAAAAACCGATATATATTTGACGAATCAAATGCTTCACGTGTTAAAGCCAATAAATTCAATACTTTTTGTTTTGTTTGAACTGGTAGTTTGGAGTCTACCGCGGCGTTTCTTCATGGTGAATGGGACTGTTATCCTTTGGGAGTCCCACCCGTATCTCACTCAGGCTTACAATCATACTAATATTATAAATGCGAAAGTTTTAATGGATTGATGTTTGTTAGAGTTTGAAATCTAAAGGGCTTGACATATTTTGATGAAATTTGATACAGAAGTAGAGGATACTCTGGAAGTACATATAAGCTACTCACTTTTGATTACTTAAATTTCACGTGGACGGTGTAGCGGGCGAAAGCTAGTATTTCGATTTTACAGATGAATGGATTGATGTTTTTTAGAATTCGTAATTAATACTGCTAAGCGGATCTTGATTAAATTTGGCCTACATATAGTTTTGTTGTTTTTTTTATTCCACACGAACGAAGTAGCGAGAGAAGGTTGATATTACAATAATATTAGAGGTTATCTGTATCAAATAACATAGTTTTCATATCATAAAAAGACTCATG